CTGCAGCCCAGGATGGAGGCTTGTGGCCTGTGTACGCCCAACTCAACCAAGGCCCAAGACAAGGCCAAGGCAAGACATGTCACCCTCTAGCCCTGCTACTCAACGTGACACCAGTGGCCAACAAAGAGCCCATTCAACCGAGGCACGACATAAGTCATTCTCTAGCCCCTCAGCCCAAGGCTGAGGGCTCTGGGTCCTGCCTACACCCAGCCCTGTGCTGGCATCTGCCCCAGCACCAACACCACCCACCAGATCATGTGAAAGGGGATCAGATTTAGTTATATAACTGAACTCGCTTGACTTCCTGGGGCTTTTTGTTGAGCTCCCAGGGTTGTTTGCTAATTAAACACTCCACTCAGCATGTAACGCAGCCCAATGAGGAGGGGGTGGAGGGTGGTGAAAAGGCCATGAGTGCCCATGCAAGGCACCATGCTGCCAATGCCTGCAGTGTAGGCCGGGCTGGAGATGGGTCCAGCAGCCAGCATGGAAAGGTGCTTGTCCAACCTGCCCTACATGGGACCCCCCCCACACACACACTTGTGTAGCAACCCCCGTCCCAAGCTCCCTGCCCTGCTGCCGAAACCCATCCCCTTCCGTAGCCTTGGCAGGCAGGGGACAACGCAAGGCAGAGAACGAGGGAGCCATGACGTGGCTATGGCCACCGTGGCCCTTTGCAAAACTGGCGGGAGGAAACGCACCATTTGCCCATATCTTGGCATGCATTACCGTGTCCACGTTTCCATGCAGCGAAGACCGTTTCAAGGCCCTGACGGAGGTCGTGGCTCTGTAGTGGCACAGGGCTGCCCCAAACAGCTCCCAGACTAGAAGCCCCAGGGCAAAGCCACTGTCTCTGCTTTCAACATACAGGACCCAGGACTGAGAAGGACCAAGGTTGCAGAGCTGGGATTGAATGGGGACACCCCAAGTGTGTGCTGCCTCCCCCCCCCCCACCTTTGGACTCCCCAGTTTTGTAGCAACCCCCGTCCCGAGCTCCCTGCCCTGCTGCCAAAACCCAGCCTCTTCCATAGCCTTGGTAGCCAGGAGACTTAGCACATCCACCCAGGACAGAGACCGAGGGAGCCTTGACGTGGCTACGGACCTTGTGGCAGCAGATGTAGCCGTGGGCTCAGCCCGGCTGGACCTCATCTTGGAGGGAGGCAGTAATTTTCCACCAGCTGGGTCCCAACGTGACCCAGGGCTCAACATGGGGATGGCATGGGCATTGCACAACACGTGAACACTCCCGCTGACCCACAGGCTGGCATGGAGCCATGCCAGCCCCTTTGTGCATGGGTAGCCAAGCCTGGAAATGAGAATACTAAGTACTCCAGGGAAAAGGCGGAGAAGAATGGGTGCCAGGGACGCAGATTAGCTACCTGGGAGCACCAGGTAACTCGACACGCTTGGGGAACAGCCCGACCAGCTCCGGCTTGCTCAACCGTTAACAAAAATATTTGGGGAGATTAAGGGAACATTTGTTGTTTCATGGGAGAGATGTCCTTGCTGTCAGCTAGGAACGAGTGAGGGATGGAGCAGACAAAGCCAGCAAACAAAGCCCGAACGTGAGAGGGAAAGGGTCAGAGATGAAGACAACGCCCTCCTTCCGTGCTAGCTTCAGCTCTGGGCACCTCCGGCTGCTCCGTCTGGGATCCCGACACCTCCAGCCCCTGCGGATACCACATGGGGGTCCCTAGCCCTCTGGCATCTAGGTTTGGGGGAGTTGGAGCACCCCAAAGGGTGAACGCCGTCCGCTACCAGAGAAGCTGGCACCCACCCAACAGAGCTGGAGCCTCGAGACCCCACAAACTCATCCACGGCTCAAACGACTGCGGATGATGCCAGCCTAGGTCGGATGGTGGAACATCTCTGCCCCTTGCCCCAGTGCGGGTAACAGGCTGGTGCCCCCTAAACGATTCCTATCCCCAACCAGGACAAGGCAAATAAAGATGGTAGGGGGGAGGCAAAGGAGGTGTCATGCAGAGCTCGTGGGCAAGGAGGGAAGGGGCGGGCACCTGGATCTGCATGGCGTGAGACAGGAGGGTGGGGGCACACCTGAAATAGAAGAACACGAGAGCTGCCCTGGCCTGGCTCAGACCTCAGATCTGTCCTGCCCGGGCTCCCACGTCACCCGGCGGCAGAGAGCGGCGCTGGACAGGAGAGCGATGGGGTCTGAGCAGGGTTTCCCCCCGTTCCTCTCCCCCTCGCAGCCATCGAGGGTCCAGGACGTGGTGGCCCCAAGGCCGTGCCCCGCACTCCTGCACCCCACCGCCCCCGATGCCCCTTTCCCCCAGCACGGGCCCAGCCCCCGGGGTGGATCTGGACGAACACTTCGCTCTCCCCTTGAGCCCCCCCTTTCACCCCAAGTGAGAGGAAACGACCGTCCCGGTGTTGGTGTTACACTGCCGGCCTGCTCATTTCATGCCAGGACCCCTCGTCCTTGTCTGGTGAGAGACGGCCAGGAATCGATCTCCCAGGACCGTCTCTTCCCCGCTTTATAGGGTGTAAACCCCCATCCTGTCCCCCCTCCAGCACCTCTCTCCTAACGCCACCAGGCCTGGCCTCATTACTCTCCTCCAATAGCACCGATCCCCCTCGCTGCCCTTCTCTGCACCTTCTTGAGCTTTCCACCCCCCGTTGCAGGTGCGAGGAGCAGAGCTGGGCACCGTATTGGAGCTATGGATGCACCATGGGTTGATAAAAGGGCTTCAGGATGCTTCCTGTTGTGTTCGCAGTTCCCTTCTCCATAACCCCTCCACGGAGGGGGTGGGAGGGCAGCCACCTTGGTGCCTCAGAGGACACCCGGGACTGCCACCACGCACATGCCAAGAGCATCCGGGCACACGGGTCCTTGCAGCAGCTCTAGCCGGCTCAGTGCTGAGCCAGGACGGGTGGGCAGCCGGGGCAGGGAAACCCAGCACGGGTGCAGGAAATGAGTCAGCCTCGCACGGTGCAATCCAGCCCTGGCTTTTATTCTGTAATGGGGACGGGGGGCACACACACAACTCAGACAACCGCGAACGGATGCTTCTGGTCCTGATCGCATCTGGAAGCAATTAAAAGAGCAAAGCTGAGTGGGGAGGCACTAACAAGCTGCCAGGGGCTGCTGGGAACTACCAGAGGGCGAGGACTGCTCCAGCTGGCCATGCCCCAGGTGGAGGGAGGGAAGGAGCAGGTGGCAAAGCCCCAGGCAAGTCTCCCATCTCCTGGGGCTCCCTGACGCCTCCCAGCGGATAGGCCAGGACACAACGCTTGTGTGTGCACATGTGCATGTATGTTTGCATGTGTGTGCACACGGTGATGCACTGCACACCTGCTCCTTCTGGGTCAGGCTCACCCCGGTGTGAATCAGGAGCAAGGAATGAACTGGGTTGGAGCTGAGGCCCTGAAGTCTGGCTGGAGCAGGGCCGGGAGACAGCCAAAGCCGAGGCACGGCCAGGCCCTGCACCCAGCCCCTGGCACTGGGGATGGACCTGGGCATGGCTGGGGGTGCTCTGGGCTGTGGTTTCTCCCCCAGGCTCACAGGGGTGGGTCGGGGGAGGGACTGGAGTGAACCTGGCTGTAGCGACACCCCAGAGAGGGCAGAGCAGGAGCTAGAGCAGCCCTGGGGCTGCCGCGAGTAGCCCCCAGCCCGGGTGCAGGGGTGGCAGCCAGGGCCAGGCCTCAGCCCCAGGCGCCCCGTCAGCGAGGGCACATGCAGAGCTGGTAGGAGGGGGGGATGTTGGCGAAGCCGCTCTCCTGCGGGGTGGTGTCCAGCTGCTCGGGGGACACGAGGGGCTTCAGGCGGAAGCGCTGCAGCACGGTGGTGAAGAAGAGGAAGAGCTCCATGCGAGCCAGCGCTTCCCCCAGGCAGATGCGCTTCCCTGCGGGGAGAGACAGGGCTGAGCACCAGCATCCTTTGGGAGACGTGTGGGGTCCAGGGCAAAGCCCCGCCATGCCTGCCCGGGTGATGGGAGGAGGCATCACTATTGCACTTGGAAATCAACCCTGCAAGAGTCAGACAGGCTCTGCAGGGACGGGGAGGGACAGGCTGGCGCGCCCGAGGGAGGCGCAGACGGGCAGTGCCCCAAGGGGCGGCGGGTTACCTGAGGAGAAGGGCACGAAGGCATCGTTCTTCTTGAAGGCGCCGTTCTCGTCCAGGAAGTTGCTGGGGTCAAAGCTCTCGGGGCTCTTGAACTTCTGGGGGTCGTGCAGGACAGTGCTGAGCATGGGGTAGACCTCAGTGCCCTGCAGGGAAGGGCCATCAGGACCGTGTTGCCTTCCACCTGCCTCCGCCCAGCGCCCCGGGGCCGAGCCCAGCCGGGCGCCCGTACCTTGGGGATGGTGTAGCCGCGGAAGCAGGTGTCGCGGGTGACCATGTGGGGCACGTTCATGGGGATGAGGTCGCTGACCCGCTGGATCTCGTGGATGACGGCGTCCGTGTAGGGCATGTGGCTCCGGTCCTCGATCGCCGGGACCCGGCTCTGCCCAATCTCCCGGTCAATCTCCTCGTGGATTTTGGCTGCCAAAGACAGCGGCAGGGCTCAGCCTGGGCCCCCTGTGCTCCTGCCAGTCTGTTTGGGGAAGGGGGACTGGTCGGAGGCAGCGTGGGCTAGTGGAGAGGAGATGTGGCTTCTGACTCGGCTCAGCTGAGTGACCTTGGTCACGTCCCTTCCCCCTTCTCCGTGCCTCAGCATCCTCCACCTGAGAAACGGGCGCAGCGTGAAGGCCGGCCACATCCCATCAGTCTTCCAGTGCCGCACACACCATGCGGGAGGGCTGGGACCCGGGAGACCTCAGCCAAGTCCTGCGGTGTCAGACCCTTGATGGACATGGGAGCCCCCGGCCGACAAGGGGGGAGCTCTACCTTGTGGCGGGGGGCGGGGGGAGGCCTCTGCCCTCACTGACCTTCCACCTCAGGGTACTTCAGCAGCAGCAGGAAGCCATATCTCAGCGTGGAGCTCACGGTCTCCGTCCCCGCAAAGAACAGGTTCAGGGTGGTCAGCTCCAGGTTCTTGAGGGTGAACTCGCTGGCCGGGTTCCCCTTCTCCTTGAGCGGGGTGGGGGAAAACAGAGGCAGGATGAAGCCCTGCTCTTAACAACCCCGTGCCCCGGGGTTTGGGCAGCTGCGCAGCCCCGATACCTTCTCCATCTGGGCCAGGAAGCAGTCGATGAAGTCCCGGGGCGAGTTGGGGTCCAAGGTTTCCTGGTTCTTCTTCACCCTCTCGGCAATGAAGACCCGCATCTGCTCCAGGATGTCGTAGATTTTGGTGTGGGGCCCGGGGAAGTACTTGAGGAAGCTGGAGTACATGTCGTAGAACTGCGACCGGCCCGGACGTGGGGACGGCGGGGTCAGACTCACGGCCCTTTTCCGGTCCCCTCCCTCGCTCCCGGGCAAGGACATTCCCCACCTGTTTCTGCCCCCTGTTAACTCCTAACATTTCCCATTTCATCGTCAGGCTGCAAAGTTTGCAGCCAGCGGGAAAAACACGGAGAAGGAGAGGATGAGCAATGGTGCCATCGATATTTTCACCCAGGAGCTAAAAAAAACCCTTTGAAATGTGAATTGCCTCCGAGCTGGGGGTCTCGCTGGGAAAGCCCAGGCTGATGGGTGTCAGGTGGGGTTTAAGGCTCCTCCAGAGGCGCTGCGTGCTGGCTGCAGCCCAGGCTGGGGATGGGTCTGGCTGGAGGGTCTTGCCCCTCTGCTCGGGCTCAGACCGATGCTGCACTGGGGGCAGGGAAGGATTCCTCCCCTGCTCAGACTGGTCTGGACTGGGGGTGAGGGGTGCCTTCCTCTGTAGCGGGGGCACGGCCTGTGCCTGGGATCTCCAAGGGTGGATTAACAAACTTTGACAGCAGCAGGATGTTGGTGGCTGCGGCCCCCCCCGCCAGGACAAGGTCGGGCGTGATGTCTGGAGCTGTGTCGGGGCTGACCGTAGCTTTGCTACGGGGCTGGAGAATGGATGTGTCCGGGCTGGTTTGGACAGGGCCGATCCTGCCTCGGGCAAGGGGTCGGACTGGATGTGACCTTCCAGCCCCACGTCTCTAGGACGGTTTTGCACCAGAGCAAGACGGCAGCGAGTGAGCTCAATGCACACCCCCGTCCCTGGAAGGGGGTCACCCGGCCACAAGCCAGCCCCACCTGGGACCACGCCGTGCTGATCTCCCGGAAGCTCTCGTTCATCATCTGCATCAGCGACAGGAAGACCTTGTCCTCGTAGTCGAAGCGGTTGCCGAAGACGATGGAGCAGATGACGTTGGACACGGCCTTGCTCAGGAGGTAGGTGGGGTCGAAGGGTTTCTCTGGAGAGAGAGATGGGACAAAGCCTTGTAAAACCGCTGGAGCCTGGGGCTGGGGGCCTGCTGTGGTGCCCCCGGGAGTACGGCAGAAGAGCATCAGGGCTGCCATGGATGGGGTCAGACCCCAGGTCCGTCCCCTCACGTCCCACGGTGCTGGATGGGGGGGGTGACGGGGTCTGAGCAGGGTTTCCCCCCGTTCCTCTGCCCCTCGCAGCCATCGAGGGTCCAGGACATGGCAACCCCGAGGCCGTGCCCTGCACTCCCGCGCCCCACCGCCCCCGATGCCCCTTCCACCAGCACGAGCCCAGCCCCCGGGGGGATCTGGATGAACACTTTGCTCTCCATCGAGCCCCCACCTCTTCACCCCACACCTCGGAGTAACTCTACCGAGTGGTGCCCAGAGGCAACCTGGAGCCAGGCAATGTTACCCCGGTGCCTCGCAGTGCAACAAGGGCCAGCCCCCGTCTCGCACCCTGGAAGGGGCTCACACGGGGTGTCTGCGGCGCTCAGGCTCGCCCCCCGCTCCTGGGATCCCCACCCCGGGGCGTCACCTTCCGTCTTCCTGAACTCCTCCAGCAGGAACTGGGCCTCCTCCTGGATCCGCTGCTCAATGCTCTTCTTGCCCATGCCAAAGTTGCGCAGGATGGTGAGCGAGAACCGGCGCAGCTGCTTCCACCGCTCCCCGTTGGAGAAGACCACGCCTGGGGGGGACAGCGGGGCCATAAGCGGGGGCCGCCGTCTGCTTCCAGGGCCACCCAGCCAGCCCAACCGGTGGCACGGGTTTGCTGGGACCAAGCCCCGCTCCCGGGAAACCACCGCAGCCGCACGAGGGAAGCACAAAGCAGTGCCCCGCGGGGCAGCAGGTCCACCCAAGCCCAAATGGGGCCACGTGCAAATGGGTGCTGCTCCTTCAAAGCCAGGATCTCGCACACAGGAGCAGGGAGGACTGCCAGTGACCCTGTCTAAAAGCCCTGTCTCCCCTGGGGCCGGGGGAAAAGGGGCCGCCCTGGAAGCCGGGGCTCGTACCGAAGCCATTGAAGTTCTTCTCCACCGTGGGCATTTCTCCCCTGCCACTGAACTCCTCGGCATGGTCCACCAGCGCCTCCTTCACCGCCTCGTGCCCGCACAGCACCACGATGGGCTTGAGGCCGAAGTAGACGGTGAACACGGGGCCGTACTTCTCCTGCAGCTGCAGAGGAGGGGGCCTGGTGAGCAGCCTCCTGCTGCCATGCCCCCTTACCCCGGCTGCATGCAGAGCTCGCGGGGCCCCCACGGACAGTGTCACTTTTCCATCAAAAAGCAAATACCATCCCCGTCCCCTGCCCCAATCCCGCTCTCATTTTCTGCACTGCACTTGCTTCAATGAGAAAACGACTGGCAATTTAAGTCAGAAAAATGTAAAAAGAATAATAAAATCATGAAAAACAGTTCAAATTTCACACCCCCCCCCCGCAGCTTTAAGCAATGCAAAAAACTTTTTTAAAAGTTTGCTAAGAGCCCGATGGGTTTGTGTGCCCAGAGAACGCTGCAGCTTTGGGCTGCTGAGGCCGTAGAAAGTCTTTGTGGGTGCACGAGTTTGCCAAGATCCCGGTTTTCTGCTGGGAAACAAAGGGGTTGGTGGAAACGGGAGTGCTCTGCCCGCCCTCCTGCACTGCCGTTGACACAAGTGCCCAGAGCCCGGGCAGGGAGCAGCTCCCCACAGCGCTGGGCACTGCCCACCTTGGAGCAAAACCAGTTGCACTTGGCAAGGAAAGTCCCTGTCTCTCGGCACCTGCCGTGTTGACAGTGGCAGGGCTCCGAAGCCGGGCGGGGAAGAGGACGGCCCCATTCGGCTCTTCTTTCGCGTCTGCTCAGCCTCTGCAGCTGGCTATGCCCTCACGGTGCCGCGGGCTCTGGATGCGCCCCGGGGTCCGACATGGCAAAGGCTGGCTGGACGGCGGCTTCCAGCACCCCGGCGGTGTCCGGAGGATGCCGGAGGTGAGCACGCCGGCACCCTTGCAGCGCGCCAGGCAGGTACGTGCCACGCGGTGGCTGCACGGGGGGGCACCAGTGGGGAAGGACAATGCTGAGGACAAACAGAGCTTGGGATTGATGGACAAGCTCATCCAGCCCAACCCTGCTCCCAGCTGGGTCGTCTCCCTCTCAGTGTCTCCAGCCGGGGATGGGGGTTTCATCCGTGAGCCCAGCCCTAGCAAATCCTCGGAGCGCACGGAACAACCCATCGCCACCCTCGTGATAACCAAATCCTCCCCTGCCTTCATCCGTAGCCTTCCAGCCTTTTCCTACGCTGAGCTTGAGACCTCTCCTTGGTCTCTGCCCCCAGTGGAGCCAACAGTGGGCAGACGGACACATCCAGATGCCCAGGCACCGCAGGTATCCAATGGCTTCCCCTCTGCCAGCCGGCTTGCGACTCCCTTCCCAAGCCCCTCTCCGGCTTGTCCAGCCCAGCCCCTTGCTTACCTTCTCCAGGGACTTGAAGGTTTTCCCTGTCTTGATCTGCAGGAAGTTCCCGATCACCGGCAGGGGAGTGGGCCCGGGGGGCAGGTTGCCCAGGCGGGATTTCCTCTTCCAAGCTGCCACAGCAAGGAGGCAGGACACGTAGACGACCATGAGGAGGGTAACAGCTCCGGCCAGCTCCATGGTGGACCCCGCGTCTCCTCCGCACGCCCGGAGATGCCTCGAGCCTCGGTCATGGCTACTTATACTGGTGCCGGGTGGGGCTTGGCACACCCTCGTGGTTACACAACAGCACGGGGCACGCAACTGGCCGGCAAGGCGTCCCCTAGGGGAAGAACTGCCTCCTGGGGCATCAGCTGTACCCCCGGGGTGGAGGGAAGGTGGGCAGCAGCGCACGGCCCGAAAGGCAGAGCAGACCCAGGAGATGACCGTGTCCTTCCCACCTCACCCAGAGCTTTCCTCCTTGCAACATCAAAGGGAAGCGGGGACATTTCCCCCTCCTCCAGCTTGCATGAAGGGCAGGTGGACTCCCCTTTGCTCTCCCCCGCCAGCCAGGAGCTGCCGTGCTTCACGTGTGTTGGTTAATAAATCAACAAGGAAACCTTGTCAGGCCCTGCAAGGCCCTGACCTGCAGGGAGCTGGCTGCCAGTAATTAACAGGACCTTCCACTCATTAACCCCAAACTCAACCTTTCCTTGCGACTCCGCAGGGCTACGTGGGTCCAGAGCAGGGGGTCCCTCGTTACCAGAAGCTGCTATAGCAGGGGTGGGCAAAATGCAGCCCGGGGGCCAGGTGTGGCCTGCCAGGCCCTTCTATCCGGCCTGCGGTGCCCCTAAAAAATTTAAAAAACTAATATTAATCTGCCCTGGGCTGCCTGTCGTGCGGCCCTCAATGGCTTGCCAAAACTCAGTAAGTGGCCCTCCGCCCAAAATAATTGCCCGCCCCTGTGCTATAGCACCGTGACAGCTCCGCACCTGCCAAGCGACCTGGGCCAGCCCTCGTTATGCATTCAGATTGGTATCCCACCCTTTGCAAAAGGCTGAAGGCATCTGGTGATGACATGAGTAGATCCTCCAGGCTAAAGGTTGCCTGAATCATGCCCAGGCTGTCTTCAGTGATACAGTGTGGTCGTGAGTCACGTGGATGCGGGCTCTGAGTGTCATCCAAGAACTCTGCTGTCATTCGCAGCCCGGCTGGGACAACTTGGCTGCAGCTGCCCTGCCCTTCGAGGCATGGGAGATTAAGGTGGGCAGCTGGATCCTGGGTTTTGGAAAGGGCCCGAGCTCAAGGCATTAGCGGATCAGGAATGCACGAGGCTGTCGTCACCGCAGACAAGCGGCGTGCTGCCTGCAGGGAAAGGCTGGTCTCCGCTACAGTAACAGAGTGAATGGAGCCTGGGGCTATGTCTCTACCTGGCTGCTTTACAGCTCGTCGGAGCACGCTGTCTGTGTGTCCTGCCCTGGCCGTGGGGGGTAGGAAGCTGGCAGACGCGCCAGGATGTCCCTGCTGCTTTCCGTCGATCCTTGCTGCACTGGCACGGCCGTCGATGCGTCTCTCGGGCAGGCCTGACCTGCTGAGATCCCGCCCCCCCCATCACAAACACCCCCAAATTCAGTAAACCTGGAAGGCGCCAGCGATGACTCGACCCTGGGCAGCGCCGGGCGCCAGGAAGCAAGATGGGGGACGTCCTTTTCACATGCAAGGTACCCTGGGGTACAGCTCACGGGTGCAGAACGTGGCTCAAGTTCAAAGCCACCGTTTCCACTCTCCCAGCACCAGGCCTGACATCGGCTCCCCAGTCCGTCCCTCGGGCAGCCAGTTGCCGACTCCTTGCCCCGAGAACGTGACCCCACGTGCCGGCCCCCGCTCTGCAACGCAGCCACGACGCTGCCCCGTGGCTGCAAGGTCTGCACAGCCCACGGACGACACCCCAGTGGGACGGGAGCTGCTTTCTCCCAAGGAGAGGCAGAAGCGGGTCTCTCGCTGCACCAGGAACGACACGCATTGAAAGCCAAAGGGCTTCCAGCAGCGAGAGGCCGGGAGGGCACTGCCCAGCCTGAAACCACCGCTGCCACGGCTGGGAGCAGAGCCGGGCTGGACGCAGGGCGCCGACGTGCAGAGAACGAGGTGGTTTCGAGACTGAGACGAGACCCAGAGAGGAGACGCGTGTCGTGCGGTCTGTAACGCTAGCCCCTCTCGTCCGTCTACACCTCTGCTGGAGCAAGGGCTGGCCTAGAGACTTTCCTAATGGTTGAAACTTTAATTTAAAATGCGGGGTTTTTTTGTTTTTCTTCTTTGAATGTCTGCCCACCAGCCAGGACTTCCAGGGGCATCTCACTGCTGGGGCGCTGCAGATCTTCTTGCACATCTGCTCACATCCTCGTGGTGCCGCGGGCTCTGGATGCGCACCGCGGTCCGACTCAGAGGGCCGGCACGGCGAAGGCTGGCTGGACGGCGGCTTCCAGCACCCCGGCGGTGTCCGGAGGATGCCGGAGATGAGCACGCCGGCACCCTCGCAGCGTGCCAGGCGGGTACGTGCCACGCGGCAGCTGCAGAGGGCTGGACTGGGGGGCACCGGTGGGGAAGGGCAATGCTGCGAACAATTTGCAGTTAGCAGGGGGAACAAGAAAAGCCCCGTCGTTTTGTTGCTTTTATCCATTTTGGTGGCGGATCAGTACAAGTTGGGCACAACAGGCCTGGCCAGCGGGGATGACACAGCGGAGCCATTTGATTTTAAAAACCGAGCTGGGTCAGACCCTAGGACCATCTTGCCCGGTCTGGTGGAGGCCAAAAGGGTCTGAGCAGGGTTCCCCCCCGCCGCCCCCTTTCTTCTTTCACTTAAAGCCTCCAGCATTTAAGATCAAAGTGCAGCAATTGCCATTTCCTTTTCCAGCCCTCGGCACCTGTCCCCCACAGGGTAAAAAACAGGGGCGCCTTCACGCGCCGATCGGCAGGTGAGGAAATGTTTTAAACCACGACGGGGGCTTGCAATGAGCTCGGCATGAAAAGAAATCCTGCGTCCAACAGGTAGCCACCGAGCGATGCTTTTGCCACGAGGATCCAGGAACCGTGCGAGCGGTCGGGATTTGGGGGTGACATCTTTGCCTGCCCGGGACCGACCCCCAGAACGGGCCCGGTTGGCGCTCCAGGCAGCCTGGAGTCGCTGGCCGTGAGCCGGGTCTCGTGGCGCTAGCCGATCCCATCTCGGCGGGGCTTCGGGGCAGCCAGCCCGGTCAGCTGCGCAGTAACAAAGCCCGTCCTCAGCATCTTCTCTCTTCCGTTATGAAGCGGGTCCAGGGGATGACCTTGCCTCCCAAAAGCCTTTGCCTCTTGTAAACCGGGAAGCTGGGGGGGCCTGCAGGCTGCTTCCCCTGAAACAGGGTTTCTGCAGCACCACGTGGACCCCCCTCCCCAAAAAGGGACGTCCTGCAAAGAAATGGTGGGGAGGGGGTTAGCGCTCCTTGCAAGCAGCCCTTTACAAAACAACTCTGTTGTAACAGAAAATACTTCGAAAACAAAGGCAGCCTTTTGCACAGTTTGCCACCCCTCCGCCAAGGGCCCCTGAGGGGGCGGGAGGGAGCTGGCGGAGGACTGACTCAAGCCGTTTGCAAGCCCGGAGGATGCATGACTCCTCTCCCATCCCGGAAGAGGCAAGAGGCTGCAGTTGAGAAACCCTGTGGTCCAGCCCCGTTGCCTTAGTTTTGCACCTTGAGGAATTAAAGCAGCCGCGCAGCACCTGCCCTGGCCCGGGGCGAGCCGGAGGACTCCAGAAAGGGGTCAGGCCCCCGGGGCCCCGATTCTTCCCAGAGCCTGCGGGCTTCGGAGGGCCTCGCCACGTCCGGTGGCAGCCCACCTGGCGCCACTCTCCGGAGCGCCGGGCCACGTGGCCCGGCTGCTCGTGCTTTGCACGCAGCGGGTATTCGGGAGGCAGGCGTGAAGCCTGCGGCCTCGGCCCCCGGGAATCCTGCGCTGGGAGGAGGGAGGGGGGACACATAGCGCGGGGGGATCTGGCCCTTGGGGCACGTCCCTCTGCTTGGCCAGCTCCGGGAGCTCCGCTCGTTAGGTGCCACCCCGGCAAACGAGGGCCAGGCCTTCGCTGCACGGAGCCCCGGCTCCCTCGGGTGGCTCTCGGGAGCAGCACGATGGGCTGGGGACGGACCCGGGAGGCTTCGTTTCCAGCTCCAAGCCTCTCGGTCTGTGGGCACCACCTAACTCTTGGCTGCGAACCCCTCGCCTTCGAGCCCCCTAGGACCCAGAGCTTAACCCAGGAGTCCCGGCCCCCGGGTCTCCCCCACTAGACCCCAGCTCTAGCACATGGCACCGGTGCCCCAGTGGCCTCGTTACCTCCGGGCTGACTCACCCCTGCCGGGGACTGGTTCACCCGCGATTCACTGGTTACGGAGCTGCAGCGTGATGCCCTGATGCAACCCCTGTGCCACCCTCCTCCGGGAGCCTCAGCACCACGGCTGCGATGCCAGGACGAAGCTTGCGCGGGCCCGGGAAGGCGGCACTCGGCACCGTTCCCACGGCAGCCGTGCAACCTGGGCTGACTCACATCCTGCGGAGACCTGGCCGGACCTGCCTGCAGCCCCGAGCGCCGCGCTAGCTTGCCAGACTACGCCGGTCCTGCCCCGCTGCAACCGCTCACTGAGGCCCACGGCCCGGGCAGGCGGGCAAAGGATCCGGCCACGTCCCGAGTGCAGGGACAAGTCTCGTCCCACGGCCCTGACGGAGGCCCGTCTGCAGGCTCGGGCGCGCTCCAAGCCCGTGGGGGCAGCCGGGGCTCTCGCCAGCCTCCAAGTATCTCAGAGGCACGGCAGCCAACGAGCCTGGGGCAGCTCCTTGTCCGAATGCTTCCCCTGGCCCCTTCACAACTGGGGAAACTGAGGCCCAGGAGGGGAGAAGGGCTCGCCCGGGGGGGTGCACGGCAGAGCCGAGCATCGCGAAGCCCCGGCCTGCGCCTGTGGCCTCTGGGGCGCTGCCTTCCCAAGCTGCGTGCTGGCTGCGCCGGCCCCTCGATCTTATCCGCAACGGGCGCCGTGCTCCCCTTGTGCAAACAGCCCCTTGCTAATCTGCGCTGGGTAAATACAGGCAGCCCTGGCTCGGGGCGATTCCTGACGGCGGGGGGGAGTTACGCAAGTCCATGTGAGCGATGCTCAAACCACAGGATCCCGCGCTCACGATGACTCCATCCCGGGCGAGGTGGGGTGTCACCGGCAGGTCCGTCTCTTATACCCCGCGCCAAGAAGAGCTGCTCAGACTGCTCTGGGACGTCTTCCACGCGCCGGCTGCTCCCAGCGAGGACTTGACGCCCGGCCAGGATGGAGCTGGCAGCCGCCGCGACTCTGCTCCTGGGCCTGTGCTTTGCAGCTGTCATCTTCCTCTCCGTGCTGAGGGGGCTGAAGCGGGGCGGGAATCTGCCCCCGGGTCCGGCTCCTCTCCCCATCCTGGGCAACGTGCTGCAGCTGCGGGCAAGCGCCCTGGTCAAGTCGCTGGAAGAGGGAGGTCGGGGGGGGGGGGGGGGGTTTCAGACTTTCCAAACATGCAGTGCTGGGTCCTGGGGGCATCGCCAGGCCCCCCACCCTGGCAGCCGTCACTGCTTAGGGGTGCATTCGGTGCCTGGGGGGCACCCCATGGCGGTCGCTGCACTTCGTTTGGGCTCAGGTGTTGCAGGTAGCTCGGGCACTGGAAATGCTTCTCCTCCCCATCTCAATGAGCACAGGCACACACCTGCGCTCCCGTTAGCCTCCTTACCCCAGCTGACAGCAGAGCCTGGCTGCTGCCTTAGAGGCACGAGCCTCCTGGCTTCCCAGCTGTCCGCGTTTGGACAGCGCCGGGTGCCCCGGGCAGGTGCAGCACCCGTAACCATCACTGAGCGCCTGCTGCTGCTGCCCAGCCTCAGCCTCAGCCTCAGCCTCAGGGCTCCCGGAGATGGGCAGGAAGGTGGATGCCCTGCTCCCAAGCTGTCCCGGGGCAGAGCTGCGAGCCCCCCTCCCCGGCTGCAGCTCCATCGGGGCCCAGCTTGCAGCCGAGTGGGGGAGCTGGCAGGGGGACACGGAGGGGCACATGGAAAGGTCAGCTCAGCCAGGCAGGCATGCTCGAAACGGCGGAAGCACAAGGGTTAACCCCCCCCCTGCCCCCCCACAAGGGGTTTCCCATCTGCCGGTAGCCGCTGGCTCAGGCGAACCCTTGGCATCAGCCACATCCTGTGGTTGCCGGTTCCTGCTCATTGCACAAGCCGGGGAAGGAATTTCCTGCTCCAAGGGGCTCCCGGCCAGCTCCTTGCAGCTGTGACCTCCCTTGCCCCGACCTCTCTGAGCCCCTCTTCCTGCCCTCTGCAAAGCCTCTCGGGCTGGGAGGGGGAGGCCAGGGCTGTCCCAGGCAAGCACGTGGGCAGTGCTGTTCTCCCTGCTATTCCCCATCCCCTGCCCTCATGCCGAGGCTGGCCCATGAAGTCACTCGGGGGTCCCCGAGCATGGCAGCATCCACGGATACCCGAGAGGTGTGGATGGGCCGGGGCTCCTTGGAGCTGCCGCCCGCCCCCACGGACTTCTCCCCGGCTTCTTCCGCAGCTGGCAAAGAAGTACGGCCCCGTGTTCACGGTGCACCTGGGCCGCCGGCGCGTGGTGGTGCTGTGGGGCTACGAGGCGGTGAAGGAGGCGCTGGTGCAGCACGCCGAGGACTTCAGCGGCAGGGGGGAGCTGGCGGCCATCGACCAGGTCGTCCGCGGCTTCGGTGAGTTTGGCCGGCGCGGTCACATGCAGCTGGAGCGTGTTGACCCCTGAAAAGGGGGTCCAGCAAGCTTACGCGGAGGGCCGGCTCACAGCAAGGACCTGTCCCGCTGTCCCCAGGGCTCGTCTTCTCCAACGGGGAGCGGTGGCGGCAGCTGCGGCGCTTCTCGCACTCGGCGCTGCGGAGCCTCGGCGTGGGCCGGCGGGACGTGGAGCAGCAGCTCCAGGAGGAGGCCGAGCGCCTGGTGCAGGATTTCCAGGCCACCAAAGGTCAGTGACCCCCCACACAGCTCCAGTACCTGGGCGCCGGCTGGGCCCCACGGCCTGGCACCCACCTGCGCTCTCTCCCTGCCAGGCGCCCCGTTCGACCCCACGCTGTGCCTGAGCCAGGCCTCCTCTGCCGTCATCTGCTCCCTCATCTTCGGCCAGCGCTTCGAGAGGGACGACGCGCAGTACATCGAGCTGCTGGCCAAGACCAACGAGGTCCTGGTGCTCACCAGCTCCACGTGGGGAGTGGTAAGAGACCCGCAAGCTGCAGCCCAAAAGCCAGAGGCTGAGTCGGGCGCGGAGCCCCTGGGAGGGCTGGGCCCTCGGGGACCGCGAGTGACCCCGTCTCCCGGTCCTGCCGCCCCGTGCTGCAGCTCTACGAGATGTTCTCCCGCATCCTGCGGTTCCTGCCCGGAGCCCATCGCCGCATCCGCCGCGACCTCGAGGACATCGGCCGCTTCATCGCCGAGAAGGTCCAGGAGCACCGGGCGACGCTGGAGCGCGAGCACCCGCGGGATTTCATCGACTGCTTCCTCGCCCAGATGGAGAAGGTGCCGCGGGACGGGGGCATGGGGCCGGGCTGGGATGATCCGAGGCAGGGACCGGCCGTCTGACCCGTGCCTGGGCTCCGAGGTGGGAACGCAGCTCACGCCCTGCGTTTCCCCCCCAGGAAATCCTCAACCCCTCCGTGGAGCTGCACCTCGAGAACCTGGTTATGACGGCCCTCAACCTCTTCTTCGCGGGCACCGTGGTCGTGAGCACCACCCTCCGCTATGGCCTCCTGGTTCTCCTGAAGTACCCGGACGTGGCAGGTAATGCGGCGGG